TATTACCCCCCCCCCCTTCCAGATTCGAGAGCGCATGATTGGAGATTTACAAGCTGAGGCACTACAACATGAAGCACATGCCGAAGCAGACGACGAGAGCTCATCCGAAAGCGACATTGACCAAGACAGCGAAGGCGATGGCGAAAGCGAAGGTGCAAGCGGTCATTCTCGGCGTCGCAGGCTGTCGGAAGCGTTGGTATGCCCTTCCTGTCCACGCTCTGAGCCATTCGCTACAAAGGACAAGCTACGGCGACATCACGAACAAGGTATGCCGTTGTATTTCGAAAACAGAATTGAAGCTGACATTGGACATCTGTAGACACCGAGTGTCACGAAGTATGTGTGTTCTGCCACGTGTCGTTCAAACGCGTCCGAAAGTTCAAAAGACATGCGGAGAATTGTGTCGGCAACAGCGAGCGGAAGAGAGTGTACATGGACGAGACCTGCAAGGAGCTAACTATACTTTCCAACACGAAACTTGAAAAAGCGCTGCGCGAGAGTAAGAAACGTTCGCGAGACGAGTCAGAACAAGCCGCCAATTCAGTGGAGAGCGCCAGACGAAACCCTCGAGCTCCGAAGCGGCAAAGAACTCGGCAACAACATGCAGACAATGCCTCAGACGCCCCTAATCTGTTGTCATCATACGCCGCGCCGATAGGTATCGACCCCTATTTGGTCAGATCGTCAGGAGCGCCAGCGGCTCCTGCCAACATACACAGTCAGAACCAGACGCAGAGCTTGCCCACGGAAGCTACCGAAGCAGTCGTCCCATCTCTGGACGTTGTGGAGAACTTTGACGCGCCTCTAATGCAAATAATGAACTCTGTCCCTCTAGATATCTATCCGTGGCAAGTGAACGCATACGATGGGAACCTTCCTGGCAATGACCCTGCAGAGTATTGTCTTTCATGACCCTTTGTCATGGAATCGACTTAATTCTTCTGAAAGACGAAATTGTGTCCTATCTTTGGGTTTATTTCCTGTATTTGTGCCACCTTATCTTGGAGTACCGTTGAGTTTGGGAGGTCAATCTTGGCCCAATTGGCTAACACGTCTTCTGTTGCAAACATAAATGCAATTGTGTAACCTTGCTTCATTTCAAAACAGACACGGGCATCGAAGACGACCCTTGAGGAAACTGTTAGTCACATAAAGGAGTTAGGATAGTGGACTTACAAGCCTCCATCTGCAAAGTCCATGACTCTTGGCTCGCAGCCGCCATGGCTCAACTGTTCCCGCGACACTTTGTAGTTTGATCTCACACCCACTGTTGTTTCGAACCGATGAAGATGTGATCCAGTATAGTATATGATTTGCGATCGTTTCGAACACACATGCACTGCGAAAACCCGTCTCCCAGCGTCAGGTCCACCTCGCCTGAAGCTTTCAATATATGGTTCGCGTAGCGCTTCGTATTTGAGGTAGTGCCCAAGGACACATCGATCGAGAAAGGCGCCTAAAATGTGTTGAATGCGCTGTGATTTCTTAGCTTCCTGAATAGCGAGCAGAGTGACTAACTAACGGGATTGAATGCGAAGTCGATTAGGAAATCCAGTCCATACACTGTGAAGTAAGGGCAACCTCTCCGGTCAAAATCCGAAACCCGGTCCCCCGCCGAGGTATCTTGCCAACAGTAGAAGCCTTTCTCCGATACAGACCTTTCCGCAACCTCCTGAGAGGCGTCCGTGGATGCCATGGCTTTGACTGTGACAAGGCGGTATGATGGTCGTAAATGAGGGGTACTCCTCGATTTGACGTGGATCGACGGACTAGGGTTCATCCATGCCGAAGGAATGGATTTACATGCTTGCAAATCCCACGCACCACAAAACTGTGGTGCTGCATGGCAAGGCACCACGAATCTGTGGTATCCCACCACAAATCCGCGGCACACTCATGGCGCTTGGGTAAAGAGCATCCAAGAGAAAAAAAATACCTATCAGCTTTTTATAGAGCTGCTAGCAGATGTACCCTATTAAAGCGTAGATGGCGCCAATCGGCCTCTGTCTGTGTCGACAGGGCTAGTGTACTCAATTCTGTTGACTGCCCACCTGATAGACATCTCAATGCCATCCATTCACGACATTCTTGCACAGCCAAACCCTAGACTCGACCCGAGCTCGGTATCTTGGGGTCATAATACCTACAGCCAAGATTGGATTCCTGTGTCAGACTGGACACCATGGACAGACTTTACACTCCAAAACCTTACGTCGATGTACGCGCAGGTACTTAATGCACGCTGGAGGGATCCCCCGTCAATCAACATAGCGTCTAGTTTCGATCGGCAGATCCGAGATGAGCAGAGCATGGATTATTTTTTGGCAAAGTACGTATGGCCATCAGTGAACGGAGCGCTTGTACAAGCCACTTCCATCCTCGAGTGGGGCGAGGAATTGTTCTACTTAGGGCCTGGAAGCTGGTGTCAGGGGACTGGGCCGCCAGACTGGGGCTTAGTCTCAAACCTAAAGGGCCCGTCGGGAGGGAAGTTTTGGAATCTGTTACCCGGAGACACCAAGCTCTCTGTCAAGTGGTACCCCGCGATGAGCTTGTCAGAGAACGAGAGCGAGAGATACCAGTGGACTTTACCTCTGTCACAAGTCAGCACATACGCAGCGCAGAGTGAGTGTCGATACGGATTCCTGATTACGGATCAAGCTCTTGTTGTTCTACGCTTTACCAAGGAGCGTATTAGTGAAGGCTTAGCTGCAACACGGCCAAGTCGGACAGTTGTACCACAAACTCACCAGCGCATCGCCTCCAACGAGACTGACGTATCGTCTCTCCTGGAATCCATGTCGCTTGGCTCATTTGGTGCCCAATCTTACAACGACCATGATCTTGCAGGTGCTGCAAACGTGGAATTCCTGCCGCCCGAATATGCAGTGATACCAATGTCCGCTCGTGGGAAAGACACCCTCACAGTCAAGTTCTCGATTTTTTGCTTATGCCTAATGGCCGCTGGTGGATGTGGCAACGTTGACTACGGGTATCCTCCTCTTGATAGCTGGAGGTGCGTCGATCGTCAAGGTTTTATTCACAATACATCAAACCTCGGTGCCAAAAAGCTGCCAAACAATGCCGTTCTTTATGAAACCCAAGAGTATGAGCCGGAGGATGTCAGGTCGGAAGCGTCCTATGATGATGAAGTCAGCCAGAGTGGCCAAGTGGCACCAGGCACGGAGACCATCGACAGCAGAATTCATCAAGAATACCACGAGGGACAGTCAAAAGTCGGACAGGAGGGTCAGGGGGCTAGTTCGACTCGAACAGAATCTAAGCCCCAGCCAACTGAAGTTAACGTGAAGAAACGAGATGGAAAACTGTGCTTTCGTGATGTGAAGGGTGAATTGAGGAAGACGAAGAGAAGGGAGTGGACCCCAGTGTCGGATGGGTGGATTTTCCATGGGAAAAAGCATTCTTACTTTACCAAACATTTACCTAAGGATTAAGGTCGATCCATACAGTAGTTGTTCTTCCTTTTCCTCTTCTCCTTCGCCTCTGGTCTTGTGAATTGATGATTGTTCTTGTTTTCTCGCACGGAACGTGTTTTCCTTATACCATGTCCCCTATCAAAGTTCCTTCACGCGTATGCGCAAATAGTGCAAGAATTTCCCTAGCGACCTGTTTTTCTCCAAATGCTCATCGCAGGTAGCGACGCTTTCAGCGTGTTGCAACAAGGCACTCATGAATGAGAAAGGCGTATCGCAGGCTGGGCACTGAAAATCAAAGTCCGGGTCATCTGAGGCGTATCGATTGGATTGATAACATTCGAATGCGACTTTAGTGACATAGTCTTCGTCTGCACCAGACTGGCAGTAACCAGCTTCAAGGTGCAACACCATCGCCGAGTCGGAGATGAATACCCTAGAGCAGCACAAACACTCCACGGTCTTCTCCGCGTGGGTTTTATAATGCTGTGGTGGATCCTTAGCAACCATAATAACTAGGAGTAGGAAATAGGACTCACATTCTGTAGATTTGACTTGGAATTGAAGCGTGTTCTGCATACCTCGCATTTGTTATGTGCGGCTACATCATGCTGATGAAACTGCGCTAAGTCATTGAACTTGCAATCACACCGTACGCAGATATAGTGTTTGATCTCCAAATGCTTGTCCAGCTCACTCTCATCAGCGAAATCAGGCTTTTGAGGGCACTTGTAGCAGACATGATGATGGGAAGAATCTGCGACGTGTTGCTGCTTAACTTCGCCATGTGAAAAGTGTTTCTGGCAACGGAAACAGTAAGTATTTGGGTGTTTGCTTTCGAGATGCTGTTGGAGCGCATGGGGAGTAACGAAGGATCGGTTACAGGGCTCGCAGTACTCCATCCTTCCCTCTTATCCGTTCCGAGGCAAGCTCTTCTTTAGTTGGCGATCGTGGAGTCGGTGGAGGAGATGTAAAAAGCTAGCTGCGGGGTAGAGGATGATGATGCGGGCCTTAAGGACCAGGCACAAAAACCTGCAATGAAGGCAGAAATCATAAATAAATATATGAGAGAACTTGCAGTTCACTAAGTGTAGTAAGAATTAGACTCACACAGTGATTTTTGCAACGGCGGTAATTGCTAAAGTACGTGGTACAGAAAAGGAGAGAAACTGCACTACATGTATTCAGTACCCGGTGGCAGTGTTACGACCCCTGCGACACCATCACGTGTGCTGCCCTGCAAGCTCCACAAATCACCCTACAACTCACATCCAACTTCCCCGCACGAATCGTGAGCCACCTCAGGAACCGACTCACGACTTACAAACTAGACTCACGCCGCGAGCCCAGCTCTCAACTGTGGGCCCCTTCATGGGTATATACATCCATTTAGCGCTGGAGAGAACACTTAGCTCACCAGCATTCAATAAGAGTTCTTTGCCAGAATACGCCTAACCCACTCTATCCTCGTCCAATCAGCAACAATTTTCTTAATCCTTGTGTAGGATTAAAAATGCAGTGAAATCTGTAGTCGTCCGCGCATTGGCAGTTGACTTCTCTTAACCTGTACCGGAAGAGGATCGATTTCCAAGTAATAAGCCTTTGCTGTATGGAATGTTGTCTTGCTGTAGACCTGTTGTAATTGAGGCAGGACAAAGTTCAGTCAACCACCGATCATTTGATAAATCAATCTGGCTGTGCTTTTTGATATGCACAGAGTTTGATTCAGCTACATCTGACATGGTCGACGTTGGGTGACCCAGTCGCGGATGTTTGTTGATCGTGAATGTTGAAACGAGATATTGACATTTTACAATACGGAAAAGCTGAGTCAGCTTTGGGCGGGTAATAGATGTTCCGCTCCGTATTTTTGTACAAGTCAGTGCTTATTTCAGCATACGCTTTACCAGATCTGGAAGGCTTCAGTATGGGCACTTAAGATTGCAGAACAGCAATTGACAGCATATCGATATTAGAAACAAACAAAAGGCGAATTACACATGAGCCACTTATCGTACAGCTCTTAGGGGCGTAAGTACTTAGATATGGAACTTTATTATTTTCTTTATATATTTTATCTACTCTACCAGTTTCCATCGATGCTGTGGCTGTGTATCGCGATGTCGTGTCCTCAAATGCGTGGCGACCCCATCGGCTACAGAGGCGAATCCACAAACCTGGCACACGAGAAGGCAGTATGTAGAGAGAACCATGTGGGGACGAATTGCACTCGATTCAGATTCCAAGTTCGAGGCTATCGTAAGGATCGTCAAAATGAACGGGTTCTTGTTCGTAAGATATGAATGACATTTGTGTTTTGATCAACATCGAAACCATCTAGTAGTATGATTTACCTCCCCTATAGCACTTTACGCGAAAGGACGCGTCGTGCTCTGGCAAAACCCCGTTTTTGATCGGCACTAATGTTAAATCAACTCTGCACCCCGGCAATAATCAACCCTGCTGGGGTTAAAGTGGGTCGAATAAAATCAACTCTGCCAGAGTTGATTTAGGACTGTAGTACTAGGCGACCGTAAGGTTGGAAATAGTCATCAGCTCAGTTGCAAAATTGTGTACTGGTTGGTTGGAAATGGTTATCAGCTCAGTTGCAAAATTGTGTACTGGTTGGTTAGAAATGGTCATTAGCTCAGTTGCAAAATTGTGTA